AACCCAGATGCCCCTCAGTAGATGAATGGATCAAGAAAATGTGGTATATATACACAATGGAATTCTATACCTCCATCATAAAGAATGACATTGCCCCATTTGTTAGGAAATGGAAAGACTTGGAAAAAATTAAGTGAAGTAAGCCAGACTCAAGTTTCCCTTATCTGCAGTAACTAGTATATGTCTAGGATAAGCAGAAGAGGTCAAAGTTATATACATATGGCCATATAATCTGATGCTAAGCAAAATGAACCCCAAGATAGGGGACACAAGAGATTTTATCTTTCTTGTTGTCCTTTTTACTGTACTTATAATGTACTACGTGATTTTTTTTTTGTTTCTTTGTATGTTCTTCCCCCATGGTACAACCCCTATTATCCCTATATTTAATTCCAGTGTCCTATATCTTGTATATACATTTTTCTAATTTGGGGAGGGGAAGGGAAATAACAAAATGCTGAAATAAGGATACAGGATGACCCATTGTAACAATGAGATGCACAAGACAGTATGTTGAAAATGAACTTTACAACTTTGCGGGGGAGGGGGAAAGGGAGGAGTTGGGGAGGTGTGGAGGAAAGGGATAGTAGGGGGAAAAATAAAGGAGGGGGTAACAATGCTTGATAGGAAATGGACTCCTTACCTTGCTCATGTAACTGTAACTCTCTGTACAGTATCTTTACAATAAAAATGTATATTAAAAGTAAATGTGTTGTATGTAGATTACTGTTTAGTATTACCCATCTTGCTGTACAGATTGTGCTTAGAAAGACAGTCTACCTTTTGCAGGAATACCATCTTGACTGTTAAAAGGGTGAGTTCTTTCGAGATTCAGTTGCATAGAATGTACACATCGGTACATTAGGCAGAGTGTGAGAGCCGACTGGGAAGATCAGAGGATCCCTCTGCGTGCTCCCCTACTTTCTTCTATAAAAAGAATGCAAGCCAAGGACTTTGCAATGGCACATTTCTTTTCCACTGATTTCAGGCTCTGTGATTTATCCCGATTATGCGTGCGTGCACACATTTCACATCCCTACATATAGACCATCTTGAGCAGCTGGCTGGCTTTGTGGCTCCAGCTGTTGGAGATTTTAACACTACCAAAGATGTTTGGAGGTTTTTCTCATTGCCAAAAGTATACCTGTTTTTTTTTTTTTTAAATAGCACTTGTGATCAGAAACTTGTTACAATCCATTTTGGTCTTTCAGTAGTTATGGAAGTGAAGGTGGCTAAGGAAATATATACATTTTTAAGTGGAATGACATTCACGTACACTACCTTGTTTTGGTTCTGAAAGTAAAAAGTTTATCTCTTGGTTGGGTGGTATGGAAGTGGTTACAAATGAGTCAACTGAAGTATAATAGACTCTGTGGAGACCTCATAGTACAATCTTTTAGAAAGATTAGGTCAGAATCCAACAAACTCAACATCAGGAAATAAGTACATGCAAGAGGAGAGGATAGAGACAAATGAGGAAGGTAAACCAATTACAGGGGAGGGAGGGGAAAATGCAGTCAGGAAGTCATTGTGTATACCAACAGGTTTTTAAAAGTAAGGGAAGGGGTGGGTCATTGTCAGGAACTGGAAGGACTTAGAAAAAATATAAAGTGAACTAAGCCAGAACCAAAGAAACATAGGACCCATGGCTTCCCTTATTTGTAATAATTAGTATACATCTAGGATAATCTTAGCAGGTGAGTGGAATAGCGTAATAGCTTTCTACATAGGACCATATAAGATGATGCTAAGCAAAATAGACTCCAAGACATGGACACAAGAGGTTTTTCTTTGCTGTTGTCAATGTGCTACATGATTTCTTTTGTCTTTTGTGTTTTCCCCCTATAGTTTATCCTCTGTTGTCACTGCGTTTGTTGTCCCTGGGTATTGTATATACATTTATCTGAAGTAGGGAAGAGAAGGGGGACTACAAAATGGCGAAATGATGGACAAAGTCGGAACTTATGCAACAGCGATACTCACCAGACAATATGTTAGAAATGATCTGTACAACTTGGGGGGGGGAGGGCGGGGGCAGGAGACTGAGGAGGGGAAAAGGGAGAAAATGAGGAAGGGGGTAACAAGTTACACAAGAAATGTACTCACTTCCTTATTTATGTAACTGTAACCCTTCTATACATCACCTTGACAATAAAATTAAAATTTAACTAAGCGGTGAGAATGTTGAAGGGGGTAATACTGATCAAGAGCCATTTTATTTATAAACTTCTTTGTTAAATGGCACCTCCTTTGTATAACTACCTAAAGGTCTCCTTTTCTTAAGACAAACAACATTACAAAATCTATAAAATATTTGGAAATGGATTGCTTGTGACTGAATGCTCATTGATAACTCAGTGAAATATTTTTGGATAGTATCATTCTTCCTAAATGCAAATATTTTTTGTTGTTGTCTTTCTGGCTTACT